GGGGGGGGGGGGGGGTGGTTGGTTGTGGTGTTTCAGACTCTGGTAGTTTGTCTTTGTCAACTAGATATTAGAATATGCCACTTTCTGAGGCAATTTTTTAATGTGAATTAGAACATTTCTGTTTGCAGCTCAATTTTTAATCCTGGCCCTGTGATCAATGGCAACAAAGATAAATCTCAAGTGGACTATGAAGTTAATGGGGAGGTATCAACTCTTGATTATGAAGCTAAATAATCTTGAGAAATTGAATTTTCCAGAAGCATTATCCTTGTTGTGGATTATAGATTTATGTATTTGCTAAACCTAGGGTTTAAGAGAAGCTATAAAGAATGGCGATACAGGTGCAGCCAAGAGGCTTCTGAGTGAGGTATGTCATGATTTTCTTCTAAAATTAAAATTGAAAAACAATTTAAGCATTGTTACATTGGCTGGCAGGGTGTTGATGCAAATTACCATGACAAACAAGGATTATCTTTACTACATCTGGTACTGCTCTCTATTTCTCTCTGTGTGTGGGTGTGTGTGTGTGTAGGCTTGTGTGCATAACATAGGAACGTTGCATCCTCTGTTGCTGGCTTGCATTCCTCTTTTTGTCTCTATGTGAATATTTGCATGCATACATTCATTCGATGTTTTTGTGTATTTGTTCATGACTGAGAAAACATAGATTGTTCAATTCCATTGATTTCTTAATAGTGATAGTAATAACAGAATTGGTTGGATGTAGGCGGCATTATTTAATCAAACCGATATAGCCTTTGCCCTCATGGAACGTGGAGCAAGTGTGGAATATAAAAATGCACAAGGTAATTAATTTTATGTCCTAGCCATTGTTGAGTTAATTGATGGCAGTTCTGGTTAAGTTGTTGGAAGTGGCTAGTCTTGCAGTTCTTTTATTCTTATCAGGTACATAAATATTTCAGGGGAAACACCACTTGATTGTGCTCCAGCCACTCTGCAATACAAGATGCGAATGAAATTAAATGAGAGCAAGCAGCAGGGCCTAGAGCAGAGTGTCTGATAGAAAAATACACCTTTTTGGACCCTTGACCTGCAAGACTACAAGCTTTGAGTTCCCCTTGAGAATTTCTTTCATTGAAGTGTTGGTCCTACCGGATGAGGTTGTATTTTATGGAGTATTGTACCAATAGAAAAGCTGCAGCACATGGAGGTTTGATCATGGTGCCTTTTTAAAAGCAATAAAAGTTTCTATTTTATGTCTGTTTCAGAGAAGCTTTAATGTGTCCATCACACGTATTCTTATAAACATGTTTTGGTAAGCCCTGAAATAAGTTTAAAGATGATTGCAGTGTTCTCTCTCTTTTTCTTTTCTTTTTTTTTTATTTTTCTGAACAAAGGCAATTATCTATTACTATCATTACATATTTTTAATAGGGCGTGAGGGAAGGAGAGCTGGGGTCGAACACAGTACTCCCCAATGATATTCTCACTTATGGAACAAAGTGTTACCACCCTGCCCATCACGCGAAGGAGGATGATTGCAGTGTTCTTGTTTGTTTGCATAGATAAAGGCCAAACTATTTGGTTAATCCTAATAGGATTGCCTTGGCTGCTTTTGTTGGTCTACTCATCATGATGTTTGATTGTTTTCTTAAAGATATTACAGCCTTTTCAGCCACCTACTACTTTGACTGATGGTCTGAGGACCTGCATATGCACATGCTAAATATAACAACAGCCATCGCATTTTTTGGAATCTGATTTGTATTACAGCATGGTCTAATATTTATGTCATGCTAGAGACTTGGATAAGGTCTCTCCATTCTCCACCTTCTTATATCTCTGTCTTGATGGTCTTCTTTTTCCATTGATAATGTTTTCTCTCTTCCCATTGAACAGGAAATACTCTGGCCAATGATGACAGATTAGGATGTTGTTATCAATTTATCACCCGAATTCTCTTTATAAAAACTAATGAAAATATCTAGGGTTTGGTCTGTGTTGCAATCACTGTCATTTTGCAATTGCATGATTTTTTTTCTTTTTCCTCTCTTCTTTAATTGAAGCAATGCCAGTGGTTTTCTTAGGTATCCAGATGCTTTTAGGTAACCACACGGTTTTGTAAATTTCTCTCTTTTTTTCTCTTTATTTTGTTAAAGTTTAATCCCAAAGTAAGATGTTGGTGATGATGTTGCAGTGGTGGAATCTGACTGGGATTTGGTGAGATCTTACATGTCCCTGGGGTCCTCCTTTCCTACGTCTAGTGGAAAAGGCAACAAAAATAACAAAGGCATAATATTTTCTTGGTTAAATGCTAAATTTGGTCCCTCAACTTTAGTGAGTTGCACATTTTTGGTCCCTCAACAATTTTTTGCACTTTTTTGATCCCTTAACTATAAGAAATGCACTCCGTTAGTCCTTCTGTTAATTTGAGCCGTTAACTTTGCTTATTTGGCATTTTTTATATTTTTTTTGATGATGTGGAGAGCAAAATTTAGAAAAGTAATGACATGAACAAATATTTTGACATGTCATGTTACTATGTGCCAAATCCATTCAAATGAGTCTCACATCACTAATAAAGAAATTTGTTTTTTGATGACATGGCACCAAATCTACTCAAATGGGTCCCACCTACTAATAAAAAAAAATCTTTTGATGACATAAAAAATTAATTGATATTTTTTATATTTTTTTAATAATATAACAAATTAAATTAAATATTTACCCGAATAACAATGTTCTCATCAAATTTTCTTTCTTTAACGGACATTATAGATTGTCGTTAA